ACCTCTGAGCTGTCCCACAGGATCATACGGGGACTTCTCAGAGAAGGTCATGTTGCCAATACCCCATCCAAAATCTTCCTGTGTCCCTCCAAGTGTAAATGCACCCGCTGCTTCCCTGAAGTGCCTGTAGACCAGTGTGCATAGCATGGGAAATGAACAGGATGAGCTGGAGATCTGTGTACAGTCGCAGGGCCATGATTTCACTGCAGTCAAGGAGATGTGGTGACACAGTTCACGTGACTGAATGCTGCCATGGAGGGCTGTGTCCTTTTCAGGAACGATAGGCTGGGGAAGCGAGGTGGAGGAGTTGCCCTTTATGTGAGAGAGCTACTGGAATGGACTGAGGTGTACCTGTGAGAGGGTGAAGAATGTGTGGAGTGCTTCTGGGTGGGAATGAAGAGCAGGGCTGGTATGGCCGACACTGTTGTGGGGTGTACTACAGTCACCAGATCAGGAGGATGAAGTCAATGAGGCCTTCTACACACAGCTGGAAGTAGCCTTGCAATCCCATGCACTGGTTCTCATGGGGGACATGAATCATCCACATATCTGCTGGATAAACAACATGCCCAGGCACACACAGTCCAGACGGATCCTGCAATGCACTGAGGAAAATGTTGTCACGCAGCTGTTGGAGAAGCCAACAAGGAGTGGGGTGATTTTAGACCTTGTTCTTTCCAGCAGGTATGGGCTTGTTAGGGATGAGAAGTTTGGGGGCAGCTTGCGATGCAGCGATCATGAGATGGTGGTGTTCAAGATCTTGGGTGGAAGAAGTAAGGGAAAAAGTGGGATTGCTGCCCTGGACTTTCAGAGAGCCCACTTCAACAATTTCTGGGACCTACTTGGAGGTGTTTCATGGGCTGGAGTGCTTGAAGGTAAGGGAGCTCATGAGAGGTAGCCAACATTTAAACAGCACTTCTTCCAAGCTCAGGATCGGTGCAACCCTAAGAGTAGAAAATCAGGGAATGGATGCAGGAGGCCTGCATGGATGAGCAAGGAGTTCATGGATAAGATCAAAGGGAAGAAGAAGGTTTAGGAAAAGTTGAAAAAAGGGCATGTCCCCTTGGGGGGAGTACAGAAGTGTTGTCAGAGCCTGCAGAGAAGTAATGGGGAAGGCTAAAGCTCATATTGAGGCAAAGCTAGTGAAGGAGATAAGGGATAATAAGCAGGGTGATCTTCTTACTCATTTTAATTTCTCTTTCCTTTTCCTCCTTTTCTCTGAAAGCTGTAAAGTAATTCAAGCCTTCCGTGGTTTTCTTAAATAGCATACAGCTTAGACAGATACAATTGTGAGAGGGTTGACGCATGAAGGATTACCATTTGTGGAAATCTCCTGAAGGACTACAAGAGGAACATGGCTGGAAAAGGACCTTAGAAGTGATTCTTTCTGCACAGACAGGTCAGCCCTCCCCTACAATGGTAGTGCTATGGTGCCAGAGACACCCAGCAGGACTCTGTGATCAATTTGTGCTGTTGTGTCACAAGGAACAACTAGTGAGATTGCAGAACCATCAGAGTAAGGCAATGCCAGGGTGAGTGCCAGTGCAGGAGTTGAGGTGAGTGTCTGCAGCCTGCAGGGAAAAGGACGCTGGTGAAGGACTGCATAGAACAGCCTCTGGTGGAGATGGCCAACAGCACTGGCAAGGCTCGAGGGCCCTGAGAGAAAACCGAGGTCTTTGTCCTCTTGGCTGTGGCAGCTGTGTCTGCTGCTGAGGCTCAAGTGGCACGTTGTCCTCATGCCACGGGGGCCTCCTTGCCTCCTTGCAGTCCTGTAGGGAGGCCACTAGTTGTCATATCATTTTCCCTCACAGAACACTACACACGCACATAGGACAGGAGTACTCTTCTTGGACAGTTGTTCCCTTCTTTGCGTAAGTAACTGGCTAGAGGGCCGTGGCCAATGGGCAGTGGTTAATGGAGCTAAGTCCAACTGGCTACCCGTTACAAGTGGTGTCCCCAAGGAGTTGGTACTGGGGCCCATCTTGTTTAATATCTTTATTGATGGCCTTGATGAAGGCACTGAGTGTTCCCTCAGTAAGTCTGCAGATGACACTAAGTTGGGAGGTAGTGTTGATCTGCCTCAGGGAGGCCCTTCAGAGGGATCTAGATAAGCTGGATCACTGGGCTGAGGGGAATGGGATGAGGTTCAACAAGGCCAAGTGCCAGTTCCTGCACTTTGGCCACAATAATCCCATGCAGCGCTATAGGCTTGGGGCTGAGTGGCTGGATGACTGTGAAGAGGAAAGGGACCTGGGGGAGTTGGTTGATGCTTAGCTGAACACGAGCCAACAGTGTGCCCAGGTGGCCAAGAGGGCCAACAGCATCCTGGCCTGCATGAGAAACTGTGGCCAGCAGGAGCAGGGAGGTGATCATCCCCCTCAAGTCAGCACTGGTGAGGCTGCACCTCGAATACTGTGTTCAGTTTTGGGCCCCTCACTACAAGAAAGACGTTGAGGACCTGTAACATGTCCAGAGAAGGGCAACAAAACTGGTGAGGGATCTGGAGCACAAATCCTATGAGGAGTGGCTGAGGGAGCTGGGATTGTTTAGTCTGGAGAAGAGGAGGCTCAGAGGAGACCTTATTGTACTCTCAAACTTTGGCCTTCCCAGGCAACAAACAGGACCCGGGGAAATGGCTGCAAGTTGTACCAGAGGAGGTTTAGGTTAGACATAAGGGAGAACTTTTTCTCTCAGAGAGTGGTCAGACAATGGAATGGCTGCCCAGGAAGAGGTGGAGTTGCCACCCCTGGCAGTGTTCAAGAGGCATCTGGATGAGGAGCTAGGAGATATGGCTTAGGGGCTTGTAGTAGCAATGATAATGGGAGGATGGTTGGACTGGATGATCTAGCAGGTCGTTTCCAACCTTGTGATTAAATGATTCTATGATTCACATTCCACTGACTGTGGGAGAACCTTGGGACATCAGGGAGGGACAGGACCACCCTTCCCAGAGGCTGCAGCTATGGCCCTACCCTTCTGTTGCATCAGACAAACCAAGGGCTTGCCTCGATCTCAAAGCACCTGCACAGGGCCTTTGCCTGCCGGGAATCACGGCCTCCAATTATCTGCTCTAACATGGATGTGGGGAGGCTTTGCTGGTAATGGCCCCACAGGGACCAATTAATACTCCAACACTCTCCAACATTTCTGGACAGCTTTTTGACTGCACCTTCATCATTTGTTTGCTGCAGTCTTCTCTCAGTACCTGAAGTTCATGGACACCACATAAGCTGTGGGGCTCATTACAGTGCAGAAAGATCTAACAAGCCATTTCGCTCAAGTCTTCAGGACCTGAACTGTTCATGAGGGAGGTCTCAGTGTTGCAGACAAAGTTTTCCAGGAGCACTGTCCAAAAAAGGAGTTGTCACATTTAAGGATATTTTTTATTACAGCAGACACAGAGATGCCAGTGAGCGTGGCTCAACCCCTGTGACACAGATGGCAGCTCTGTCAGGGAGAGGGAGGAACAGCCAACAGGGGGATAGCACTGTGGGGATGCAAGAGGGAAATGTAGTCAGTGAGAGCTGATAAGGGGATAGTGACTGCACCAGACAAAGATGGGAATTAATGCAGATGGAGGAGAAAGAAGCCTGTGGAAGAGGAGGGATGCAGGGGGCCAGTTGCTTGAGGCCAAATGTGTGGTCAGTGCTGGTCTGGCTGGGTGTGTGGGAGGCATGGGAGGGAGCTGACACCCCTCCAGGACCCAGGACTACAACCTGAGGATAAGATGCCTCAACTGATTCAGCTGGATCCCATCCCCATAGAAGTGTAAAGGGCTGTCCAGCAGAGCCAGGGAGCTGCAGGGAGATGTGTGGGGGGAAGGAAAGAGCCCCCCAGCAGCACAGGGGCCTTCTGCTGCTAGAGGTGCTGCATGGGGCTGTGGGCTCACAGCTGCACTGCATTCTTGGGACCTAGCAGAAGGGACTTTTCATGGACGACCCAACATGGGACTTTCTGCCCTGTGTTCATTTTCCTGCCCTTAGGGTAGGGATGACTGGCAAAATGGAAGAGGAGCTGTCTATGTTGACACATCACTGAGACTGCTGTACTGCAGCTTTGGCGATGAGTAGGATTGTGAGCAGCATCCTCGTGTTCCATCAGCCTTTCCTCAATGGACAGAATGAGCATTAGCTTTGTGGATCCCGTTCAGGCTTTCATATCAGAAAGTCTGTTTATTGACACGCCTGAAGGCTGTGCTGCCATTCAGCAAGACCTGGACAGGCTGGAGAGCTGAGCAGTAAGAAACCAGATGAGGTTCAACAAAAGCAACTGGAGAGTCTTACACCTAGGGAGGAATAATTGCATGCACCAGTACAGGTTGGGGGATGAGCTGCTAGAGAGGAGCTCTGCAGAGAGGGACCTGGGTGTCCTTGTGGACGACAGGTTGGCCATGAGCCAGCAGTGTGCCCTCGTGGCCAAGAGGGCCAATGGCACTCTGGGATGCATTAAAAAGAGCATGGCCAGCAGGTCGAGGGAGGTGATCCTCCCCCTCTACTCTGCCCTGGTAAGGCCTCATCTGGAGTACTGCATCCAGTTCTGGGCTCCCCAGTACAAAAAAGACAGGGATCTCTTGGAAAGAGTCCAGTGGAGGGCCACAGAAATGGTGAAGGGCCTGGAGCATCTCTGCTATGAAGAAAAGCTGAGTGAACTGGGTCTGTTCAGCCTTGAGAAAAGATGACTGAGTGGGGATCTAATCTAGGTGTATAAATATCTGAGGGGGGCACAGTGGTGAGGCCAGTCTCTTTTCAGTGGTGAGTGGAGACACGACAAGGGGAAACGGACATAAGCTGCAGCATAGGAAGTTCCACACGAATGTGCGCAAGAATTTCTTTAGGTGAGGTGATGGAGCACTGGAACAGGCTGCCCAGGGGAGTTGTGGAGTATCCTCTGGAGACATTCAAGACTCGCCTGGACGCCTACCTGTGTGACCTGGTTCAGGGAACCTGCTTTGGCAGGGGGGTTGGTCTCGATGATCTCTAGAGGTCCTTTCCAACCCCTACAGTTCTGTGATTCTGTGATCATACCTGCAAAGATAAGCATGCACACAGATACTGCCCTGCAAACAGGCAGTTTCCTGACAGGCAAAAATGGGTGCACTGACTTTCGGGTGGCGAGTGTGACAGCAGAAAGGAAAAGAAGGAAAAGACACAAGACTTGTAAAGAATAGGCCAATAGACACCAATAGAAGGCCTGTTTTTCTCCCTCCAGGTTGGAAAATGCCTTCCCAAAAGCAAGCAGTGGGCTGGAGGAGGCACCAAAACCAAACCCTCCGTGTACCTTTCCCTCTCCTCATTCCACGTGCTGACATTTTAAGAACCAAAGACGACAGTGAAGAAAGCTCCTGAACAACTCAGCTACTTTACTCATCCCTTCCCCTTTCCACTACAGATGATTCTCAGAAAACCCCCAAGAGCCACGTTACTGCTCTCCTCACCCTTCTCTCCTGCTCCTGGGTGGATGTGTGAGTATCTCCCACATGACTTCAACAGTCACATATAATCACATCAGTTGGCCGTGAAAACCACGCAGCTCATTGGCTGTGTGCTACAACCCCTAAATTGCTGGGAATCCAGTGACCCATTAGGACAAGAGAGGCTGATCTTGAGATACTCCTTTAAAGAGTTAATTGGTATGACACTCCAGGCTGAATGGCTTATAGTAGACTCCCACAGTGACGTCCACTTTAGTTTTCCTTGACCCTTAATCCATACCCAGAGGCTTTCAACCATGTCATTACTAACTCTAAGCTCCATTCCATCCAGCCCACAAGTACATACAGCAGCCCCATCCCATCTCACCTGCCCTGCATCTCCAGCCTGCAGAGCCCAGAGCCATCCATCACACACAGCACACCCGTCACAGGACCGTTCCCACCACCTCTCACTCATGCTGATGATGCTGCAGCACACAGGGCCTCCTGCTTTGGATGCCAATGTGAGAAACCAATAACATGTAACAGCCTTGCACATGGGCACCTGGGGGGCTGGTTGTTCCCTTGGGAGCTCTGTCTGTGCCTGTGTTGATTCCATGAGTGCAGAGGTGACCTATGACACAGAGGGCAGAGCTTTCTGTGGGGTGGATGCAACTACTGGTAGAACTCACCAAGACAAGCAGAGGACTGGAGGAGGCACCAAAACCAACAAAAACCACCAAAGGTGCTTACACCTTTCCTTCTCCTCATTCCACGTGCTGACATTTATTTTAAGAACAACAAACAAGACAGAAGAAAGCTCCAGAACAACTCAGCTACTTTATTCATCCCCTCCCCTTTCCTCTACAGATGATTCTCAGAAAACCTCCAAGAGCCACGTTACTGCTCTCCTGACCCTTCTCTCAGATTCATCAGAGCACTCACAAAGTACTGAGAGCAACACATGCACACAGACACACAGAACATCCCTACACAGACGCCTCTCCTTAGGAAACGGCATCAAAAAGCTGCTGGCAGGAAGAACAGAAGAGGAAAGCAGGATTTGGGTAGCAAGGAGAGGCCATCTGAAGCTCCTGGGTTAAATTCATTGTGCAGGGGGTGCCAGTGATGCCAGTTCCTTTGCAAACTCCTGTGTGGGGAAAAGCATCTGGGCCTCCCTCATCCTTGGGCTCACCAAAATTCTTAAGGTCTCTCTGTAGGGGGTTTTCTCATGAGAAAGGAGTTGCCAGCCCAGAGAGAAATTTCCTGCACCAGAGACACTTGCAGGGCCTCTTTATCACACAGACTGGACAATGTTTAATGATGAGTGCGATCTGAATGAAGCTCTTCCTGCAGTGCAGGCATTTCTAGGGTCTCTGCCAGAGTGAAAAGCTCATCAGTGAAAGTGCCCCGGTAAAAGGTCTTCCCACACATAGGACATTTGTAGCACTTCTTCCACGAGTGCCATCTCCTGTGTGTGAGGAGCTCTGCACTCTGCACAAAGCCCTTCTCACACTCGAGGCATTTCTAAGGCTTCCAGCCACGTGAACTCACTGCTGCAGGCATGGATTGGACTCCACCCAAGTGCAGACACTCTGGTACCTCAGCAGGTTCGAGCTGTATCCAAAGCTCTTCTTGCAGGCTCCTCATTGGATCCACTGGTGTGTGATGAGCTCCCAGCCCTGCACAGACCTCTTCCTACAGTCAAGGCACTCACTGGGACTCCCAAGAGGAGGGTTGGTTCTCTGGCGTCTACTGAGGGTTGAGCTCCAGATGAAGCTCTTCCCACACTGCCTGCAGACAGGATTTCTTCCTTCCTGGTGACATATCAGCCCAGCTGAGGTTTCCTTTGGGTCCTCACCTGCTGCCCCATAGCACAGGAGTTTCTGCAGGGGAGGTAAGAGGTGACTCTCATGCACACAGCCCTGGCAAAAACGTGCCACCTGGCAGAGGGTTTCCAGTGGCTGTGACACATCCCACTCTGGATTCTCCTTTGCATGGCCACTCAACACAGCAACTGAAGGGCAGCAATATGCATAATACTCATGCAAAGAAGGAGAAAGAGGATTCAGTTTGGCAGCTGAGCTCTTCCTCTACTCAAGAGATTTGTAAGGTTCATCACCACACAAAGCCACAGGTGGTCATCATGCTGTGGCTGAAGTTCTTCCAATGCTCTGCAGGCTCTGTATCTTGTGTGGCTGTGTTGGTAGGTAATGAGGCTCGAACTGCTTTTGAAGGTTCCCCGTATCTTGTGATTCTTCTACAGCCTGCATGTGCTCTGGTTGTGCCTGTGGGTGTTGAGATTAGACCTTCCTTTAAAGCTCTTCTTTTAAAACTCAGGACACTGAAAAGGTCTCTCTGTGAATGCTCTTGTGGTGCTTCAACTCAGAACTGCTTTTGAAGCACTTCCCACACTCAGTACATTTATAGGGTCTCTCTCCTGTGTGAATGCGCTGGTAGCAAATTAGGTGAGAACATTTCATGAAGCTCTTCCCACACTCAGAGTACTTGTGGGGTTTTTCACTTGTGTGGGTGTGGTGGTGCGACTTCAATTCAGAACTGCTTCTGAAGCTCTTCTAACACTCAGAGCACTTGTAGGGTCTCTCCCCTGTGTGGAAGTGGTGGTGCATCTTTAAATCAGAACTGTTTCTGAAGCCGTTCCCACACTCAGGACACTGAAATGGTTTCTCTCTTGTGTGTATGAGCTTGTGCAGCTTCAATTCACAACACCTCTTGAAGCTCTTCCCACACTCAGAGCACTTGTACGGTCTTTCAGGTGTGTGGACACGCTGGTGCTTCTTTAAATCAGAACTGACTGTGAAGCTCTTCCCACACTCAGGACATTTGTAAGGTTTCTTCCCTGTGTGGTAACGCTGGTGCCTCTTTAAATCAGAACGGTTTCTGAAGCTCTTCCCACACTCAGGACACTGAAATGGTTTCTCTCCTGTGTGTATGCGCTGGTGCACCTTCAATTCAAAAAACCTATTGAAGCTCTTCCCACACTCAGAGCACTTGTAGGGTTTTTCACCTGCATGGATGCGCTGGTGCAACTTCAAATTAGAACTGCTTCTGAAGCTCTTCTCACACTCAGAGCACTTGTAGGGTTTTTCACCTGCATGGATGCGCTGGTGCAACTTCAAATTAGAACTGCTTCTGAAGCTCTTCTCACACTCAGGACATTTGTAAGGTCTCTCCCCTGTGTGGATGCGCAGGTGCCTGTTTAAACCAGAACGGCATATGAAGCTCTTCCCACACTCAGAGCACTTGTAGGGTTTTTCACCTGTATGGATGCGCTGGTGCTTCATTAAATCTGAAGGGCTTGAGAAGCCCTTCCCACACTCAGGACACTGAAATGGTTGCTGTCCTGTGTGTATGTGCCTGTGCAGCTTCAATCCAGAACAGCTCTTGAAGCTCTTCCCACACTCAGAGCACTTGTAGGGTTTTTCACCTGTATGGATGCGCTGGTGCTTCATTAAATCTGAACGGTTTGAGAAGCCCTTCCCGCACTCAGGACACTGAAATGGTTGCTGTCCTGTGTGGATGTGCTTGTGCAGCTTCAACGCAGAACAGCTCTTGAAACTCTTTCTACACTCAGAGCACTTGTAGGGTCTCTCCCCTGTGTGGGTGCGCTGGTGGACAGTGAGGAGGGATCTCCATCTGAAGCTCTTCCCACAATCAGAGCACTTGTTTGGGCTCACTGATGAGTGTATGCACTCGTGGTTAACGACGCTGGAATTTTTTTCAAAACTATTTCCACACTCAGTGCATGGATTCTGCTTTTTCTTCTGGCACACATCCTTGCGCCTGGGTTCTTCAGGCTCCTTTTGACCTACGTTGAAGCCCAATGGGCTCCTTCCTGCCTTTCCCAGAAACTTTCGCAGTGGCTCCATGATGTGCTCACCCTGACCTTGCTCCAGGCCTCCTTGGACATCCCTTCTGATTTCTTCCACACCCCACCGCCTTTCGGCCACACCACTTTCCTGCAGGTCCTCCAGTATATCTGTAATCCCAGTTCCTGCTGGATGACAGGAAATCCAGAAATAGCACGCAGTGCCCAAAATAAAACACAGACAGAGATGGCCCTTCCAAACCCAACCTCCTCCTTCCCTCCACCACCTCACCTGGGCTGAGGTCTCCTGGCACGGCCTCAGGGCTACGCACATCTGGGATCCAGGGCTCTTCCCCTCCTTCAAGTAGGGAGATCAGCACGGGTTTGGAGACTGGAAGTGGAGCTTCAATGAGAGAAACAGGGGAGACGAGAACAA